AGTTTGTACACAACCACGATGTCATTTTTACCCAAATACAACGAAATGTTTATCAATTTATGTCGAGGGATTCGGGTTCAAAATTCAGTTTAGATCTAAAAAATTAAGGTTCAACATACAGTTACGACAAGGATCTACATATAGTTACTCGCCATCACATGTCACCAAAAACTCATTGTTATTCATTTATTATCAAACAGATATAGATCAGGTTAATATTTTATACATCAAACATGTTTTATTATCGATGTTACGCAAATTGCTAAAATTAATGAGTAAATGTACAAAATATAATTGTTTTCTAATCGGTTTGCAAATGTCAAGCAAAATTTTTCGTTATATTTCTAAAAATAATCAGGTTTTACATATCCCATTCCTTATACAGCTATGAGTATTATTTCTTGAAGCAATATGAGGCAATGAATCAAAGTAAACTCATGTTTTACGCCCAAAAATATCAAATTTCTATGCCTTGTCACAAAAAAGTAAACTGTATGTGCAACCAAAATCAGTTTTGTATATATGTAGTTCAGACACTGTGTATTCATTTAATGGATTTGTGTTTTCCACTGTCAATTTTATAAATATAAATAAATTTCATCTTTTTAAAAAATATGTCGTTGCCATTACAATGACAAAAAGGTTCACATATACCATTGACAAAATATGAGTGATACACCTCTATAAATGTTCCAATATATTTGTCGTTGTCATTACAATGACAAAAAGGTTCACATATACCATTGACAAAATATGAGTGATACACCTCTATAAATGTTCCAATATATTTGTTTTATGTTCACATATGTTTTTTTTTCTCGTCTATGAATTTATAATGTATGTTTTGTTTTCAACTTGTCCACTGAACTTTTTAACTTATATATTTGATTTAATGTTTAATCTTTCAACGTATACAGCATAGTTACAGCAACATCAGCTAACCACAATATAACTACCAAGTTCTTCATGTAAAATGACTACGACTTTATATGTGAGTAACTTTCTAGGTCCATAATCGTATTGTACACTGCAAAACAACACCAGAACATCAACTTAGCTCGTCCGCGCCTCCAGCAGGCTAGTCGTATATGCCTTGCATCACTTCCTCTCCTGCAAAAGCTTCCGGTCTGTTTTTAAAATAAATAAGTGCAGACTATAGGATCCAAACCCGATTCTGTGTTTTTGAAGGGTACTGAAATGCGTGCAAATAGCAAAACTATTTTGCTATATAGTATCATAAAATTTAACGCACAGACTTTACCGTTACAACATACAGAGAATACGCAAAACGGTTGGCCAGTTGAATTATCGTTTCACGGATACTAGATGTTTTGGAATTTTACTCAGAGTACGATTGAGTGACAACGTAATTCTACAATTATGTGTTTAACAGGCCCAGGGACACTGGGCGACACAGGGTGCTCGCGCTCTTACCTGGCCTCAGATTTTAAGCCAATGGTATGATTTGTAATCGCCCTCGCCCTATGCCAAGCCTTTGGACCTGAGTCTATTTAATAACATTAATAACCACATATATTTCAAATTTATACTTGTCCGACAGCAAGAAATCACTTACATACATATCATGCCCCCTCTTGGCCCGTGTACATCGCGATGTCTGATATAAAGATTTCAAGGTATTATGGAACATTTTGCATTATGGTGGTATCTACCGCACATGTATTGATTGCAGATCAGCCCTGGTGACAAACGTTGCAAAAATATGCACGGAAGGCACAAACCGTACTTCAGTAGATACAAGAACAAGATGAAGTAGATCCGGGTCATGGATTTAAGAAACTCTAATATTCTAGGGGATTTTGGAACTTTTGCGTTCACCACACATCAGACATGCTCTTGTGATAAAATGATGCTAAAATACATAGAGGGTTCACAAATACATGCTTTAGTGGATGCAGAAACAAGAACTTTGTGTGTGTCTTTCATTTACTAATCAAGACATGCTTTGCAATGCCCGAAATAAAGATTCCAAGGGATTTTATAACATTTCGCGTTTTGCTGGTATTCAATGCACATTTATCCATAGAAGACTAGCCCTGTTGGCAAAATGCTGATAACGAAAACACTGATACATGCTCTAGTGGACACATAAACAAGATGCATGTGTTTCTCTCCGTGTATCTCACAAGAACTTTCAGTGCGAAGCCTGAAAATAGATTCTGAAGAATTCCGGAGCATTTTGAGTTCTGTTAAGATTAACCGCAGATTTATCCATGTCAGACACACCCTTGTGACAAAACGGTGCGACAATACACACAGAAGGTACATATTCATGCTAAAGTGGATATAGAAAAGGATTTAGTTTTTTTCTCCCAGTCTCTGACCAGCACTTACAATGCGATGCATTGATATTGAAATTGTAAGGGATTTTGGAACATTTTGCGTTCTGTTAAGATTCGCCGCACAAATATCCATTTCAGACAATACTGCTAAAATAAAAACAGGCGATACAAATGCATGCTCAGGTAGATACAGAATCAGGATAAAAGTGTTTCTCTCAAAATATCTGACAATCCCATATAATGCGATGTCTCATATAAAACTTCTAAGGGATTTTGGAACTTTTTGCGTTCTGTTAAAGTCCGCCGCATCCCAACACAAGTATCCATATCAGACCAGCCCTGGTGACAAAATATTGCTAAAATACAACCAGAATGCACAAATTGTACTATAGAAAATAAGAGAAGGAGAACATGGTCTAAGTGCTTCTCTCATTATCTGAAGAGAGCCGACATTGGGTTGCATGATATGAAGATTCCAAGGGATTTTGGAACAATTTGCTTGGCTTTACAAAACGTAGTCTTTCAATATTACTATTTAGAACAATGATTGCATTGCACGAAGTGGTCAGAAATCGAAAAAAACTTAGCTCAAGTTTGTGTATCAACTTTTATTACGATATTAGCCGATGTTAGATTTTTTTTGGCGGAAAAACATTACAGTAAGACTACCTAAACTGAGGATAAATATATATGGCAAAGGAAAACATGTTAAACTTTAGTAATTGTGTAACTGTTGTACAGAATAGAACAACCGAGATTATATGAATGAAGGTTACTGATAAAATAATATGTTAATTTAAGTTGAATTCCATTCCATTAAATCGTTAATGGAAATAAATATCCTAAAATTAATAAATATATTCTATATTTGAAATCAGGTTAAGACCATCCATGTGAAAAAAGCAGAGAAACAGAGAAGTTAAGGGAATACTTGGATTAAAAGGTTTATTATCATCGGGAAGCAGTATCAGCGCAAAATGACTAGCCATAACGAAGGAGGAAAACATAGATGCGAAATATGCTATAAAGTATTTTCTTTCGTATGTCAACTTACATTACACATGAAAATTCACACCGGTGAGAAAAACTATAGATGTGATGTGTGTGATAAGTCCTTCTCTAGTTATAGTGGTCTGAAAGCTCATGCTCGAATTCACACTGGTGAGAAAAATTATAAATGTGAAAATTGTGAAAAATCATTTTATTTTAGTTATGAACTTATAAAACATTTTAGAATTCATACAGGAGAAAAGAATTTCATATGTAAAATTTGTGATGTCTCATTCACACATAGCAGTCAACTTAAAAGACATGTGCGAATTCACACTGGTGAAAAGAACTATGTGTGTGAAGTATGTGACAAAGCATTTGCTCGTGGTTGTACTCTCAAATTACATATGGCCATTCACACTGGTACAAAAAACTATAAGTGTGACGTATGCAGTAAATCATTTACTCAAAGAATAGGTCTTCAAACGCATATGGACATTCACTCAGGCATCAAAAAGTATACGTGTGAAATATGTGAAAAAGCGTTCGTTCAAAAGTCTGGACTGAAAAGGCATTTGACAATTCACACTGGCCAAAAGGACTTTCAATGTACAATATGTGATAACAAATTTGCTAGAAAAGAATCACTTGAAATGCATATGTTAATTCACACTGGTGAGAAAAATTATACATGTGAAAAGTGTGATAAAACATTCTTACAAAAAAGTCATTTGAATTCACATATGATTATCCACACTGGCTTGAAAGATTTTAAATGTGATCTATGTGATAAACATTTTCATTATAAATCTAATCTTACTTCACATATGGCAACTCATACTGATAAATAGAACTATAGATGTCAAATTTGCAATGCAGTCTTCAGACATAAAATAACCATATTGGACCCAGTTGTGAAATTAGTAATGAATAAGTCACAGAAAGGGTGAAAAAAGCAAATGACCATTCACAAGAGATCAAGGATATTGTTTAAGTGTAGGTTTAATACAACATTTATTGAACGAGTTAAATAAAATCATATTATACGAGCCTCTGGCGAGCATGGTATTGCTTTATTCAACGAGTTTAATACTAGTATATTAAGTATTAAATCTACATGAATATAATATTATTTTTATCACATATACAAAATAAGAAAACTGTTAAAAAGAGGCATTATTCATTGTCACGCCTATCGTGTAACGCTAACATTAGCGCCCTTGAACGCTATGTTTTTATATAGCGCAAAATTATTGACGTAACGTCAAAACGTCATTACACCAGTGTGAGAGCGTATTTACCAAATGGCTTTATTACACTTCTGCACCGCGGTTTATGTGATAAGTGATTTTGACTCGAACCCATGCCGATTTTGCGACTTCGTAAAAATGGTATTGCACGGTCTATTCGAAATAGATATATGTATCACAACACTTGAGATTCAGTAGATGATTTTAAACATTTTAAAATAAGTATTGTATATAAAATATAAGATAATATTTGTTTTGACAATACTTGTATATATCTTCAGACTTGCGGGGTCTCCAGATATATGGTAGTAAATTGTCGAAATAAATTAATTTTACACATGGGTAGGATTTTCTTAATAATAGTTAAGGGTTTTTTATCACATGATAAGACATGGTTGCTAATCTAGTTCTCATTTCTATTCTTATTAAGTAAAGAAGTTTGGTTTTAGAGGGCTGATCATTACTTATGACAGAATTTTAAGTGTTTTATTTGACAGCTTGTTTTTAGATAAATTTTAGATAAATTTTAGATAAAGTTTATGTCTGGATTAGCAACTGTGTCCTATTAAATTTTTAACTGCCTAACTATATGGAAAATATTGATGTCTGGTTTATGTGCAGTCATGGTGTGGGTGGAGCAACGAAGTGTTAACCTTATGTTCCACAAATGCTGATTACTGATTAGTGTATATACATGTATAGTGTTCATTAATTGTATATGCAGTGGAGTTCCACTAATAAGACCACCTTGAATGTTTCAAAAGCATGCAAATTTCGGCAATATAAAAGTAAGAGTTTAAGTTATGGAGCTGAAGTGGCTCGCTGATGGGACCTTTCCGCTGTTGGGGCGATCATTTTGTGTGGTCTTTTTTTGGTGGAACTTTACTGTATATGTAAATATATGTAAACATATAGTCTCAGATAATTCGTTTTAGAAATGACCATATTGTAATTGTAATTTTATATGTCTTTTAAAATTGTTAAATATGGATGAGACTCAAATAAAATAAAAATGTACATTTAAAGTCTTTTTGGCCAGTGTGAATTGTCAAATGACTTTTAAGGCCACACTTTTGAACGAACGTTTTCTCACATATTTCACACTTATACTTTTTGATTCCTGTGTGAATGTTCATATGCGTTTGAAGACCACTTCTTTGAGTGAATGATTTACTGCATACGTCACACGTATAGTTTTTTGTACCAGTGTGAATGACCATATGTAATTTGAGAGTACTACCACGGGTAAATGCTTTGTCACATATTTTACACACTTCTTTTCACCAGTATGAATTCGCAAATGTCTTTTAAGATTACTGCTACACGTGAATGAGACATCACAAATTTTGCATGTGAAATTCCTTTCTCCTGTATGAATTCTTAAATGCTTTTTAAGTTCACATTTAACATAAAATGATTTTTCACAATTTTCACATTTATAATTTTTCTCACCAGTGTGAATTCGAGCATGAGCTTTCAGATTACCATAACTAGAGAAGGACTTATCACACACATCACATCTATAGTTTTTCTCACCGGTGTGAATTTTCATGTGTGATGAAAGTTGACTTGCGAAAGAAAATACTTTATAGCATATTTCACATCTATATTTTCCCCCTTCGTAATGACTAGTCATTGTGCGCTGATACTGCTTCCAGAAGATAAGTAAACCTTTTAATCCAAGTATTCCCTTAACTTATCTGTTTCCCTGCGGTTTTTTTTTCTCTCACATGGAGGGCATTAACCTGGTTTCAAATATAGAATATATTTATTAATTTTAGGATATTGCTTTCCACTTACAATTTAATGGAATGGAATTGAACTGTTATTAACATATTTCTTATCATTTACCTTCATTCATGTAAACTCTATTTCCATTGTTCTATTCTGTACAACAGTTATATAATTACTAATGTTTTCCTTTGTCATATATATTTATCCTTAGTTAAGGTAATCTTACTGTAATGTTTTTCCGCCAAAAATTCTATCCCTTCAAATCGTCCCCGACGGATACAATATGATCACAACCATTATCTTTACAAAATATATAGAATGAACAACAGAACAATTTAGTTATGAAATAAAGTTTAATGTGTTGCAAGCGACTTGGTTGTAGCTGACTGTACATGAAATGAACCAACATATATATGTACAAATAAACCCTCATTTGCAAATAACATAAATTTATTTATATCGTTTCATAAATTACATGTAAATAACTTCAGTCAAAATACAAGACACATTACTAGAAAAGATGGAACACGTACATCTATTGTCTAAAATCCTTAACAAAACTTATAATAAAAATCTTAATTTACTTCTTCGGACATGTTGACAGTCGGTTAACCAAGCGCTGAATGAATTTGCAACGCAATTGCTGAATTTGGCCCGAATAGCGCCCTCATATGATCCGACGAGAACAAAACCAGGGGAAATAATTTTCTTCTAATGCACTTTGTTTAAACGAAGAAAATTTTATATATCTGCCAGTATCGAAGCAAATATGTTATTTCCGAAACGTTGTTTTTTTCAAAATCTTGGCAATTTGCTTATTTAAAATCACTCGTCCATTAGCGCTTTGTAGTACATACCGGTTAAAAAATGGCTAAATATTATTGGATATCGACGATTGTGAAAAATAACGTTTCGGAAATGGCCGATTTATTACGATATTGGCCGATATTGTTTTGGCGAGAACGTATAACAAGAATGCTAATAGCCGGAAAATTTAGCAAAATTAATAATGAAATTTATATAAAATTCTCATAAATAAATAAATACAAAATTTATATTGCCAAATTATGCCTCAGAAATGTTGTTATTTATATTTCTCAAAAGCTTTTTTTAAAAGGCTCCAAAAAAACTCATTGGCTAAATACTGAACCAATTTTTTTTTCGTCTGCTGCTTTTTTGCAGATGGTACAGTTGATTTAGTATTTTGTATCGAAGTCAAAATACTACTTTGTTAACATTTTTCTACTCTTGTGACACATAATTTTGCATTTATCGCTTATTTCTTGAGGTAACAAGCATCTTACTTGCTCAGAAATCATTATTTAAATGTTATAAAATTCATGTTTGCTCTTTCTAAAAAAGTAAAAATTTATATATTTCTGAGGCATAATGTACCTTTAAAGAAAATCAACATAAATACAACTGGATACATGTATATAAAATTGTAACATGATGTAGAACGAGATAAAGAAAACTGAAGCTGATTTTAATAAAATAATTTAGTAAAGTATATTTACTTGATAGTTTGCTTGCATTCCAGGTTATAAATTGAAAATATTTCTTCCAAGATATTTGAGACGCACAGTAAGGTTTCAGCTTGTTACATAGTGATGTTTCGACGTACTAAGCCTAACATTTTATACAGTTAGCATGCATTAAATATCGACGCAATTGTTTCCTGTTTAGTAATGAAAAGAATAAATAATTGTATATAATTAGGGTATATCCATTGTCACCCGGATGTCATCAATTAAGTTGATAATTGAGTTATTTTAATACATTGACATATCCTAAGAGATAAAAAATGATAACATCTTTGTTAATTGTATGTAATTTGCAAGTGCAATGAATGTGTTGAGTATGGTAGTTTTGGTGTAAATATTTTTGTCTGTTATGAAAAGAACAGAAAAATAGCAAACTTACCTTAAAAAATATAGTTTCTTGCGCAACTTTTTGTTTACTGTGTTTACTTGCAAAAGGCGTTGTAACACCGCACTTTGGGGTCAAACGCACTTTGGGGTCCGACCCCAAAGTGCGTTAAACTTCGCATCGCACTTTGGGGTCCAACGCACTTTGGGGTCAAAATCGAGAAATTTACCCCAAAGTGCGTTCATATGCTACATATTAACGCACTTTGGGTTCCGAGTTCTGAAGGTGTCATCGGAGTTCTGCTTAAATACTGAGTTCTGACTTTTTTCGATCCGCGACATTGAAATATTTGAGGTGGAGTTCAAGATGGCAGTCGATACTTTGTTTGATGCTTGAGTGATAAATGTTTCATTAATTTTACCACTTAAATTGTGTTCATATAACAAAGTACTCTAGTACATAAATTGTAGATGTATTCCTAAAATTAAAAGATGCCGCGAAAAATATCCCGTTCTGTCAGTCATTTACTTGATTACTTTTGGTGCAATATTGAGCCCCATTTTAAATATGACGGGGATGAAATAAAATGCAGTTAATATTTGTTTTCCAAAGAACTATAAATATACTCTATCTCAATGTTCTGGTGAAATATCAAATTTTCCGATCGGACTATAAATAGTGATTTTAACAAATACATAATTAAGCTTATCAACAAACTTAAGGTTTTTTGTAAGCTCCGTAACAACCGTTCGTCAGAGGCTTTTTGAATGGGAA